CTCCTTGTATTTTAATGTAAAACTAATACAAAAAATTGCTTACCAAATGTTTTGATGCACTGTATGTTGACACAAGCTCCAGTCAGTCAAACACCACAAAAAAATACTGTTAGGTCAAAAGATTGATACATCCCAAAAACATGTATGATGTGAACCCAGTCATCTGATGAAAAGTTTTGTTAAGTTATGTTTCTGTCCTGACTGAAGCTTTTCTGACTTAAATGGTTGATCTAAATGTTGTTCAATAAAAATTGTCAAAATGTCTCCTTGACTTCACTTTTTTGTGACATGAATAGCTTTATTTATTAATTATGTATGAGGACCATTCCTGTTAGGCATTTCTAAATTATTATACAGTCTGGATTTGTTGAGTTTTGTTGCTCAATTTCTATTTTCAACCTCCTAATTTATATATTATGAAAGCCTTTGTCTTAAGTGGCTCTATTCTATAAAGGGGCTTGGTGGTGGAGGCATGTTGAAATGAAAAACCAGAATATTTTAGATAAATGATCGATCCTTTCACCAAATAAAAGCAAAACCAAAATGTAAAGACATTACCACATCAAGTCATGCAATTGAAACATTACTTTGATAAAACTAGTACTGGGACTCGAGAAATAATTTATTTTGTACTGTTACACTTCTTTGCATTTAAGTTTTTTTGGGATAGTTAATCTCAATGTATGCATGTGCCAACCTTTATATATACAGTCTATGGTGCCAACATATTACTATTTACACTTCATTCAATGTCACTTGTGCCTAAAAAGGTAATTATTCTGCTGTAAATACCTCCATAATAACCTTTATTTAATTTAGATGTCCTGAGATGACTTCCACTTGAGTGTCTTTGCTCGGCAGCAGCAGTAGAGGTCAGTGCTGCGCTGCTGCTCACACATGGGATAATAATCCTCATTCCACAGGGGGGCTCCCTCTCCTTTAACTCCTACAGCTGGGTAAGTAGGTCAAAAATGACGCGTTTTGTTTTGAAACTTTTTCCCCAGCTCAAATCATTGAGGTTGCTGCTTTTTATTGCAGATTGTGGTATATAAGATCATAGATGTAACAGTATCATCATTTTCAAATATTTAACTTTTTAATAAATACACAATGAGGTTTGTGAAAGTACCGAAATCCCTCAAATCCTTGCTAAAGATTACTTGAAACCTGTAAGATTGTCTCAAGCATATGAGAAATGTAACAAAAGAATACCACAATTCACATTTTTTATATATTTATTATCTGCTATTTGTGATGTATTTAATACCCCTCCTTTTGTCTAAATTGTGGTTCATGTTGTGCATTGTTTTTGTGAATACAGTTGTAAATAAAATACTGTAACACATTACTTTTTCTCTCTACAAATCTGTAATTCACTTGTTTAAATGTTGCTTACATCTCACCACAAGATCCACCATGCATCAATTGGAGTTTCTTAACATGCTCAAAAAAAGAACAAAATGAAATGTAAACATAGTGTCCATCTGCTGAGAAGGATTGCGTGATCCCAGAACATCCAATGTGTGGACCTCCTGGGAAGATAACTATTCTACTTTACTTATATTTCACATTTGTATTACCTACAGTATGATCACTTTTTGACAGAAGCCGATAGCGTATTTGAAACGAAGTTGGAAACATGTCACATATCAACGGTCAAGGTGACTGTAGAAAGAATCTCTACCCTTTTCCTCTACGTCAGTGGGTTCATTCCTTAACCAAGAGAAAAAGTGTGACCCCTTTTACGTACTGCAGAGTAAACACATACTTTAAACAGTTAAAGGTCCCATGTCATGCTTTTCCGGTTATTACCCGTCCCCTTGTTGTTATGTAGCTTTTTATGCATGTAAACGGTCTGCAAAGTCACAAACCCTCAAAGTACATCCTGTAGCGAGTAAAACTCTAACACAGAAAATACCTGTCTATGCTGCCCCAGAACGCCTCGTTGGAGATTTCTCTTTTTCTTCCTGGGTACAGTGACGTGCCCATACCCAAATGGACCAATCCGTCGAGCCGTTAACTAGTTACGTCCGCGGAGCCGTTACGTTAAGTCCGTGGATTGGTCCAAATTGACCAATCCGCGGACTTCCTCACACACACACACTCAATCCTTTCTCAGCTGCAGCTCCGCCGATTTCTCCTCCCTGAGACGGCGGGACGCTGTGAGTCGGTGTGTGAGCACACACACAAACTCCCAGCCAGGCTGCGGGTGTGTGTGTTCGGGCTGTGTCTCGCTGTCTCGCAGACGGCCACTGGGCTCATAGGGAGGGGGGGGGCAGGAGCTCCAACAAGCCGTTTAGGACAGAGAGTGAATACACATACTATACAGAGATGCTGTATGAGAAACCAATGCGATTTAGGAAAATTGCACAATATAAATCTATTTTAGTAGACCTCAACAATGGAATTATGATCAGTAGAAATGGTCATGACATAGGACCTTTAACTTTTGACTGCCTGGTGTGTGACACACCAGGCAGTCACCAGAGAACTCGCCGACACCGACACCAGTTCCATCGACGAGTTCTCCTGCGTCTTGGCCATGTGTCGCACTGGAACACACCGCAAAGACTTCAGCCGAGCACATGAATGATGAAATGAGCACATAAAGTGCAGACATACTATAAAATCACAGTTAATAGACCTGCATCTGATGATCGCAGTGTTCTGGCGGGTGTGTAGTTTATTGAGTCAGCAATGTAGTAATGTAATAATGGCCACTTCTTGCTAAATTTACATTTCCATGTGATGCTTTTATCCGAGGCGACTCACAATAGGTAAATGAACAGCAGTAGACAGTATCTCATTTACTTAGACACTGTACTTAAGGACAATGTTGAGGTACTTGAGACTAAGGCCACATTTACACGAGAACGAAACGGCTTGTATCTGCATAGTTTCTCTTACATATAGCCCTATTATTTACACGAGGCCGTAACAAACGGACCCCACAAACGATAACGGGTCCCAAGGTGGATAGATTTGCAAACGAAACTCTCTGGGGGGTCAAACGAGTCCGTGTAATCGCCTCTATACGAATATTTCCTGAAAAAATAACGATAGCCCCACCTCTCCCCGCCTCTGCTGCTCACTGCTGTAGCATGGCCAGTAGCTACTGTCAGTAGCTACTGCTAGTGCTACTGCTACTGACCATGCTACAGATGTGAGTACAACATCTACAGCTCGACCATGCTACAGATGTTAGTGCAACATCTACAGCTCCTCTACCACAACCATCAGCAACAAGTGGACATGGAGAATTACATGAACCACTACATATTGCTAAATCCACCGCGGGGCATAAACAGAAGGGTAGCCATGGCAACATTGCTCCGGGCTGCTCCAGGGTCTTCTTCACTGCTTTTGGTGTATTTTGTGGCGGAAGTTACAGCGCCACTTACAGTCCCGGCATATGTACTACAGCGTTTCCAGCGCTTTCGAGTGGAAGTACAGCGCCACTTACAGTCCCGGCATATGTACTACAGCGTTTCCAGCGGTCTCGTTTGAACAGACACGTTAAATGAAACGAATGCATGTGAACGGAAGACTTTTTTGAAAACGCATACTGTGCATAAACGCAAACGTTCCCGTGTAAAAGCAGCCTAATCCTGCAACTTTATACTGACAAATAAACCGATGAGATGAAAAACCGGACTTGACCAAACAAATCACGGAGCTCTCAGCAGAGGACAGCCGGGGACGCTCCCGCCGATATCAGAGATGTCCCTGCTGTGTGGGAGGTAAGAGAGGACATTTAAGGGCTATGTTTGATGTCTTTTAAGTATCACCTGCTGGGGTTTAGCTGCTGTCCTGTGCCTTTTTAAATCGTTTGTTTACGTCCCTCACTTCCGTTTCGCTTCTCATTTGCTAGCGAACAGCTGATCAGAGTGGTTTCTTGGCCCGATAGCTTGTGTCCGTATTTTGGCCGATTCAACATGTTGAATCGGCCATGTGTCGACCGTGAAAGGTCAAATAAGGCGTGTCACGGCCGAGGGTTCGGGACACACCAAATTGACTTTGGGCGACAAGGAACGCGTTGTCGCCAGACAACCGAAGACGGCCGAATACGGCCTGGTGTGTCAGGGCCTTAACACAATCCTCCTTAAAAACTGAGATTGTATTTAGGCTATCAACGTCGAAAACTTCTGCTGGTATCACCCTTCCCCCCCAGCTATACCACACAAGGAGTAACATATCATTTCAGTGATGTATGTGTTTCACTCGACAGCTTGTCTCGCCTCAGTGTGGACGACACCATCCTTCTTCCGCTGACCTCAACCAAAGGGCTCTGCAGTCACCTTTAGTTCATTTACATTTTGTATTATGGGAACTGAGGGAAGCTAGTGATCAGAAACATTTTGAATATACTATTTTCAAGGCAAGAATGTTTCAGATGTAGGTCTATTTTGGAGAAAAAAATGTTGATCAATTAAAAAATTTCCTCCATATTGGCTTCAGAATAAATTGTAAATAAATGATGGACTCTGGTAAGTTTCCTCATATAAAATGTGGAATACAAACACTTGTATATTTGCAAATGCAATGCTCCCATTCCTGGAGCCTACACAATGCATCTTTAGTCCAATAGCAATAAGTTAACTAACTCTTCAAAACAAATGTTTCCCCCAAAGATCAACCCACTTTAATGTTTAAATAAAAAATATTCATACCTGATTTCACAATTTAAGACTTAAACGTTCAACTTTATAAATACAATAATGTACTTTAGCTATTTTATTTAGGCACATACATCCAAAGTGTTAACGTGACATTTGCAGGTAGAAAATCTACGTGCTGGTATTTTACGTTACGTGACAAAGATAAACAAGACGTGACAAATTGCCAGCAATCCGCTAACATGTGTGCACCAAACGTGGACGAGACCATTTCTCCCAGACGTGGGGGTCTGTGTATTTCGCATGCACTATGCATTGTGTGTGCTGCAGGACTCAGAGTGCCCCACCCCCCCGTGCACATAGAACATGTGACGGCCTCCTATAAAGACTTTACATCGTGGACACACTGTACTTTCCAGCCAAACGCCGACTGGACATCCCCCAAACCGTCCAGAAACCAGGTGCAGCTGCAGGTAAGCAATTAGCTTATTAATTTGATACTTTAACTGGAGTATAATGATCGAAATACCTTACAATATTGCATATTTTAAATAAAAAAAAAAAAACGTTACCGTCCACAGCTTGTTCCTCACTGGTTTCTTCATTATTATTTTTAAAGGAAAGTAGCCTTTTGTCTCTTGGGTGCTGTTTTTACTTGATTTAAGCTGTATATTATTAAGTAAAACTTGAATATGTGTTTGGTTTTGCAGAGGTTTAAGAAAATCACTAACTAAAACTGGAATTTAGCTGTCTCTGGTTAAAAGAAAAATGAGTAAATTCTCGCTGATGTGGCTTTTGGGAACTATGACATTTAAAGGGAAAACACCCCCAAAAATGTTTGCCATTTATAAATTGAATATTCAAGTTAATATATTTTATAAAAGTGAACACCAGGAGGTTATTCTGGTGTATTATTTAGCTGACTAGGATTGGAGTTGTTTTGGTTTCTTGAACAAATTGTCTTTCTTTTTGGCAGTGTGACTGTTTGCTTGGTTTAAATGCATTGGTTTTTAAAATGTCCATTAGGGAACATTGTGTCATTTTAATGTATTTAATGACGCTTTTCATGGTAAAAATTGCAAGTGTGAGCTAAATATCTAAAAGGGAAATCTTGGCTTTTGTTGCTTTTTGCAGCCAGAAATCCTGCAAATATTTTAAATGGACTCATGTTAAAGTGATTTATTGTCATTTAGCCTCCTTATAAAGTCAGATAGACCTTCTCTGACCTTTTTTTATGAAGTCTGTGCGTGGCAAGTCATCTGTACATGTTGTACCCTAGCCGTTCACACACCGTTTTGGAAGCTGTCTCCTTGATAGTGCAGCCAGTTTGAGCTTGTGAATGATCAAATATAGTTAAATGTGCATTGCATTTAGAATTTTTAAGATGCATATGAAGGTTTGTATAATTAACTTTTAGGCACAGAAATCCACCCAACTGCTTTTTACTGCTGTCTGGTCAGCTTTTCTCAATCTGCATATCACTGATTGGATTAAAGTCTGTACTTTTGGTCACTTTCTCACCTTGATTGATTAACACCAATGTGTCAGCCTAGTGAATGGCTTTTAACAGCAGGAGGGTAAACAGTTTATCTCAATGCTAATTTACAAGAGATCTGGCTCATTTAAATGACAAAAGCTTCCTTAAATCCTGTACCCTTCCAAATGCAAGTTTTTCCTTGTGCCAGCCATGTTTGCTTCTTCACAGCTGGGGCCCAAAATGGAGGTCATGGCTTTGGTGACATTGTCAAGTACCTCTTGAGTACAACGGCTGCTATGGGGAAGAATAATCTGAATGCTGACCATCCATTTTATTCGGTCTTGTGTCTTTAAAATGTGTTGGCTAAAATGGGGGAAGTTGATCAAATGCAATTTTTTTTGGATAATCTAATTTTGTTTCTGACCTTTATCCCAAGCCAAAACATTGAAATCATAGCAATGAGCTGATCGTGCATTGAGCTTTGAGAACTTGCCACAGTTATTTTTTAATTCTTCTTCGTTTTCTGAGATGTTATTTATGGAATGGAATACTGGATGATTCATATTGAGATTGTTAATTGTAGTTGTTACTTACAGCCCTAATTATTTGATACAAATTTGTATTCAGTTCGGTGCAACCTTTTGGTGTCTTCCGTTCTTGACAAGGAACAAAGTGTTTTTGTATGTCTGAACAGTGTGTTTAGCGACCGGTGCTGAACCAACATGGTAAACTGCTCACATTTTGTTATACTATACACAGTATGTAGGTTGATGCAAGGTGCGCAGAGAGTGAAACATTTTAGCTGCACACTTCGTTAAACCATGTGCTGAAGTTGGTTTTGCAAGCTGATTGGCCGAGTGAGACTGTCATATTATGGTCAGAGCAAATTACATGCTGGAGCGAAGACCCGCCTTACGTTTCCCGGTCAGCAGAAACGACAACAGAGAGAGAGAGAGAGAGAGGGAGAAAGTTGTGTACAAGAAGAGCACGGTGGGTTGGCGTTAGTCCACTGCTGTAGGGGATGTGGAAACATATCGAACATGCCACCAAACATTCAACGTCATCAACCAGATGTGGCGATCACCAGGATGAGGGGGAGATCAACTATTTATCACCACTGCTTAAAGCAACCTTTAAAAGGTTAACGCGATTACTGAAGCACTTGGAATTTAGCCAATATGGAACAAGTTTTGTTAAAGTCAATATTTTTTAATAATTACACTTCATATCATATGAAGTGCTTTTGAAGCGGGGACCTTTTTTGAGAAAGTGGTCATTCAGGGTAATACAGAAGTGTTACTACAATCCTAGTAGGAACACGGTGTTCATTTGTGATGATGGACTCTGGATTTTTGAAGTCCTAATATTCATTTGAGAACTCATGTGCACACACGGCCTTCCGCTTAGCAGTTTCCAGTTGCAGTATCAAATCACACAAGCGTGTGCACATGGCAGGAGAAACCACAGAAGCAGAGAAACCTTGGTAACAGTCGTGTACATGCCGGAGTCATGAATGTTGCGTGTGTGCAGCTGGTGATGCCGAGCGATTGCATGACTAATGAGGTTGATGATGTAATCCTTAGCTGCTGTTGCCCAGCAGGAGATTTTTATTTTGTCGATGGTTGTGCTGCAGCTTCTGATGCATCAGCCTTTCACACGGCTGTCGTCCACACTCACTCGCAGGAGATCCCCTCCTGCAGGCAGGGGCGTGGGCTGCAGGGAGAGTGACATGGAAAGGCGGGACCAAGAGAGGAGGAAAGGAGAACCAATGACATTTCATTGGCTGTTTGGAATTGAGTACACGGTGTACCCAGTAAATGTTTTTGGGCCTAATTTAGTCTGATTGACATCCTCAAGGTTTGTTTATATTGACAATCTCAGCGGGAGAGATTAATTTTAAAGAATCCATGGCCCAGCCCTCTTTGTGTTTTTGCAGCTTCTCCTGCTGGAAATGATTCTGCCATTGCTGTTTCTTCATTCAATAAATATGATTTAGACCAAGGTGGTACCACTGAAGATCAAGAAGCGTTTCATTTGAGAGTAAGTACGAAGAAGTTTTGCCAGAACGCAAACACCAGACCAAAATCTTCCTCTGTTACTCATTGAGTCTGTCTGCAGCAGGTATTTTGAAATATGGACTGAAGTAATATGCACATAGGGAAACACCCTCTTGCTTTTATGCTAGGCCTCAGGTAAACCAGAATAGTTCACAGGTGATTCACCTGGCCTCCTGCCGAAGCATGTAGTCAGCCACTTCTAAACACTGACGCAGATACTGAATCAGCTGCCAGTAAGGATTTCCTGCATTCAGACTGAAGGTTTGTTGTTCTTGTCCCCTATACACATAAGGATTAGGGTTATCTTGTCATGATATGATGCGAACATTGGAGAAAAGGGCGTTTGGGCGTTTGTTGTAAAGTAGGTAAAACATATTTCGCTGAGCTGTCCCTGTCTTATGGAAACCTGGTACGCAATAAGCCTGCACACCTTAACACGGCTAATTGCTCTCTGTGAAATGGTTTTTAAAAGAGCCTCAGGTAACTACTGTTAGCCGCTCTTTTTCTCCCATGGCTGTCTCTACAAACACAAACACAAACATGCAGGGTAAATAGTTGACACCACCTAAAGGCAATATTGGATTATAGTACACTTGCTTAGACTCAAATTCCAAACGTGGACACAATTTCCTAGTTGTAGTGTTCAAGACAAATGCTCTGGCCTTTGCTATTAATGTGACATATTTGGTTCTTCATTAACAATGAAATTAGAAGTCCTAGATCAATTATAGATGCTAATTTGGAGCAGATGATTTGTGTTGTCTTTTGCTCAAGATGAGACCAAACTCCTCCTGAAGCCCAAATATTGGGATCGTTTGATGCTCTATTTAAGTTGCAGCCCATCACTAACAAATCCATGTGGATGTTAGTGAGAACTCAAATTGCGTGATGTAAACATTGCTTTGTCTCAATCATTCAAGCATGTATGAAGAGCTAGTGCATCTAGTTGTTAAATGAAATGGAAACAGATTACATAACACACTCAGCCATTTGAGCAATCTAAACGCACGAAATAAGAGAAAACGTTTCAAAAAGGGGAACTCTATTGTCCCGTGTTTCCAATCTTGAGGTTTGTTGTGTTCTTGTTGGAGTCATGAGATCTGTGACATTCATTTCTGCTCCATTTTTAGAATAAATGGGCACATCATTCTGGTTATGTAATGCTACACTTTGACACGCATGCTGCTTTAGGAAGGCACTGTCACGCTGTATTGTTTTTAAAATTATAATCCCCTTTACCTTGAGCAAATCACTTTTGACATTTCACAAAGTGTTTTTCTTTTTTTGGAAGGAGAAGGGAAGGGCTGTGTTTGGGAAAGCGACCCACTGAGAGTAATGTGTTTCGACAGCGTGTGTGTGTGTGTGTGTGTGTGTTTGGAAGTGGGTGTGTGCTGAAGCCGAGCCCGTAGATCTGGTTGGGTGAGAGCGGAGCTGTATAAAAAGGCGGTGCACAGCGCAGAAACTCTCAGTAGTTCAAGTTCATCACTCTGTTAGGCATCAGTCAGGATTTTTTTTTTTAGCGTGACTGGGAAGTATAAAGATCCTGCTCGTCTGTTTTGGGCTTTTTTTTTTTGGGCCATCAAACGACCTAGAAGGTGAGGAATCCCAACCTGTTGGGTTTTGTCGAACAAGACCAACTTTTCAGGATGTTGAAGGTTGGATTAAATGTGTCTTTCCTCGTAAAGGGTGCAACTCCAACCCGGTTGGGATTTTAATGTGTAAACCTGATCCTCAGTCCTTACCTTCCCTCGAACCTTTACCACAAATGCAGTTGTCTATACCTGAAAGGGATCTATCTGGTCGTCGTTTATGACTCTTACACCTGGGGGTTTGCTTCTGCAAGGCACAACCTCATCTCCTTCTTCTTGTCTTTCTGCGACACATTTTTTCTATGCGATTCTTTCCCAAATCTTGCACCAGTTTGAAAAAGTTAAATCATATCTTCTTGTTGGTTACTTTGTTCTCTAACATCATGGTTGGACATCCATCGTTCCTATATGCTTTTCTTTGGTGCTCATTCTCGGATAGTCCAACATTTGTGGAACACTCCTTTTTCATCTATTGATGGGACTTTTCATGTGTGAATAAATGAAATTGTTATTTTCTTTGCTGCTTCATGTCATGGCGTAGCATGAATAGAGGCACTGTTAGTTTGGTTAAAAATAATCAATTTAATAACCATGGGGTTTAAGGGGCATTCCGGGTGAGCAACGTAATCGGCGCTAAAATAAATGTATTAGCACACGGTCGGTATAAGTTGTGTTTCCGTACACATTGGGCCGCTTTGTGCCATAGCTGGAGGCGGTAGATGTTCCTTCCCATTGCATGGATCAGATGGTTTTCATTCATTTGCAAGTCAATGTTCTCTTCCTCTTTTGGCAGCAGAACTCCATTAAATGTTTGGCAAGGAAAGGAGATTGTGTCTGCTGCTTCTATAGAAGTTGAGCAATGCTTGGATACTAGTTTTACAACTCACCGTCACCTCCAATGACTATTTTCTAGCCGTATTGCTTAAATGGTAACACAAATGTTTCTGTCAGATTGCGGCTCAATTACTTAGTGAATTCTCCCTTTTACATTGCAGGTCTTAAGAGCCCCCCAGCTCTTCCCTCTGTTTCGAACAACCTCACACCACATCAACAGACATGATCATCAGACTGGGCAGACTGACACCTGGATACTTCCGCCTCCTCCAGGTATGTGCTGCTTCACCACAATGTTGATAATGAATGAAATGTACAAACTGTATTTGAAGTAGTCTCTGTTGAGTCGCTTTATATTGGCACACTCACTAATCTCCACATAGCCATCTGTATGAGTAATGTAGGGTTTAAATACTCGCTTTAGAGCTCCACAGGCCTCGTGTTCACTTTTGGCCAATTGTATTGTTTCTGTTAACCGTCCCATTAAATGTATACTCTGCTTATGGAGGCATTAACACTACACATAATTATGCACACTACTCAGACAAGGGGCCCGCTGTCTGTGACCCACAATTTGCTTTCATCACTAGTATAATTAGGGGTGACACTAAAAATCATTTCCCCTACTTTTCTTTTCTTTTGTTCCTCCCACTGTCACCATAATCTACTCATCGGTAGTGACCCGCCATGTCGCCACCATTGTGTAAAGTCTTTGTTGGCTCATTTACACTAATTTGGAGACAAAGGGTGTCTGCTCATATGGCTTCGCATTGACTCAAAAGCTCAGCAGACTGTAGAAAAGTGACTGGCTCTTACATAAGATTTGACACCCTGGTGCGACTGTACATTTTTCTTTGTTGATGCCGCACAGTTATTGGGGAGAGTATAATACAAAGGACTGCTTTTCTTTGGATTTATATCATGTCCAGTTTCACATTGTGCTCTAAATTTTAAAATCTTTAAAAAGATGAGTTTGCAAGTTCTGCAAAAAGTGTTTGAAATCCTTATAAAAGTTGCCATATTAACGACAATATCCATACAATAAAATAATTGGTTAAACATTTTTTAAGTGATCAACAAACCTGCCATTTAATCTGTAAACATTACCCATGGCATTTTGCTAATGGGGTGTGTCTTTATGTATAATATATTTACATTCATTTGATATTTTTAAGTATGGGCAGCTTACTCTTTATTAATGCTGACCCTTTCTCTCTGCTTAAGGCCCAGGGGTCCTACGGGTAAGAGCGTTTAGAGACCCCACAGCAGGACCTGATCTAATTTAGGCAGTCATTCTATACACCACAATCTGATTGATTTTGGGTGCATGTTTTGCTTCTTATACTTTATTTTGTGGACAGAACATTGTGTTCCCTATTGCTAAAGTCTCTCCCCCTCCTAAATGTGTAATAACTTTTCCTGCCAAAGGTTGGGTCGTGTGGCAGAGAGCGTTTGAACTCTAGTAGCAGATGTTTTTTTTCTTCTAAGGGAGATGCCTTTTTAGCACAAAATATTTGCTTTTCTGCAGGTTTGACCAATCTGGCCTCGGCATCTTTGTTGTCAAGAAACCTGTTCTGAATGGGTCTTTGTTTCCACCGTTGGTTGACCTCTAACCTTTGCCCTGTTTGTTTTCATCTCTGCAGAGGCAAGTTGCCGGTGAGGTGCAGACGCAGCCACAAGACCGTGCCGTCAACCAGATCGCCATGATGCTGGCCATCATGGGCCTGAGTCTGTCCTACTACAGTGCCAAACAGATGACTGAGAAGGTCCACGTCCAGCCTGCGCCCTGAAAACACACGGCTGCTCTGATGATAGAGATGATGGAGATGATGGATGAGCCGATGAGAAGCGAAGGAGGTGGAGCGAGATAGGGGTGGGAAGACGCCGCAGAGACACAGCGGTGTCTTCCAGGACCACACACTTTTCTAACCTCACAGTCATAGTCGCATACAGACACTGAATTTCTGGGATCCCTCACCCTGCGCAGATACTTCAGGGCAGTTCAAAGTGATTTCTATATTTTCTGCTGTTGGGACCTTGGGGGGGTTTGGGGATGGATCACTTGGGGCTATGGATAAGACTGGTTTATGGACTGGTTTTGGGGGTTGATCAAAACCAGCTGACTGCCAACTGGGTCTGACCGTTAGTTGTTACAAAGGTACATGCTTGCAAGATGCTGTCAATACTGTTCTGAGCTACAAAAAGGGAAAAATACTCTTATAACTGTGAATTCTGCTCAAAGCCTGAACCAAATGGGGTTAAATGATGAACGGTAATGTCGTCTTTTTAAGGGAAAGGCTGACTGCAATTGAGATGTACCTTGTAACAAAGTGATGGCAGACCCATGTTTTAAAGGGGATGAAAATTAGCCCAACCTTTTTTTGTTTTGGTTTTTGCTTCATGAGAGAACCTTGCAGAGCCTTGTGAACAGATAGGGATCTGTATTCACAAATTGTCAATATGATATACTTGTGAAATGTATCTGCCAGGTGTCAGAAATTCAGTGAATAGTTGTGCAGAAAAGTTTTAACTGCTACAATAGATCTGCACAGGGTTTTCAAACTACCCACTACCTATTTTTCATTTTGTAATGGTTTTTGTTTCCTGTGATTTCAAACAGTTTTAACACAAATCAATGAAGTCCTGTTAAAATGATGTGTGACGACCTTAATAAGCACCCTGGTTAAGAACACAATCTGCTACATGTTAATGTAAACATTTAACCATACTGAACATTGCATGGGTGTGCAGACTTTCAATCAATGCAAAATGAATAAGTATCCTGTTTTGATGATGAATGTATTACTTTATTTTGTAATGATTTAATAAAGCTGTGAATATTTTGAGATGTACAGTGGAAACTTAGTGATTATTTAAAAATATTGATTGCTAACTCTGATCAGTAACAAACTCTTGTTTCTCTACAAAATGAAGTCGGTCTCTGCAGTTGAGTTTAAACAGTTCCTTGTTTGGCACGGGGGCCTGCAGCTGTATTTTTTTTTTCTTTCTTCCGTATTCTCCAGTTAGTGAACCATCTGCACATGCAAGCCCAGCTTTATAGTGAATTTGCAAAAATGTGGTTAGGAGATGGCTTTGATTGTCAGAATAGAGGGTTGGTGCAATAAAGGTATTGAAGGAAGGAATCTCGAGGTGTAAGGAGAAAATGCTCAACAACTCTTCGTTCTTTTTACTTTGTTATGAGCATGTAGTCTTCTTTACTAGAGATTGGATTACAGACGGTAGGCTTTAAGGAAAGCATAAAGATGGAATGTTAAAGCATATAGTAAGACTATACAACTGAAGGATGTTCGTAGCGATGAGGGATTATTATTTGTATGGTTAGCTTGTAAATGTGCCTTAAAGTGATGTCACTAGATGGCAAATTAGAGAACAAATGGGTCCGGCCCTCCACATTAGGAGTCAATCCCTCACACGGGGTACATTCTTGAGGTTTTAAAGACCTATTTCCTCAGTGACATGGGTATATATCGGTTATTGTAAGACATCGCGCTTTGATCCCCTGCAACATGGACACGTTTGAGGCGGATTGGTTCGTGCATTTTTGCATGCCCTGCTTTCTCCTACAGGGCGTAGAGTTTAGAAAGTGCGCATGCCTGTTCACCGTCTGATGTGATGTCGTGTGACAGGCTGAGACCTCGTTGGGCGCCACGTGCCTCTCTGCCCACGCCACAAGCTCCTCCCCCTCACCCCCCCCACTCGAACATCACTGGGCAAATATCCCACTTTGCCGTTTCGGTGATGCTAGGCTCAGGACACAACCCTTAACTCGGGGCACCCATTGGCTAACCAGTGATGCGTCACCAAAATCGGCCTGGTTCTGAGCCACAGAGACAAAGGGAAGGGGGGGGGGAATGTGGATGAGGAGGTTCATTATGAGGGATGGAAGTGGGGGCTTCCTTTCCTTTGTTTTATTTATTTAAACGTCTAATGAATTCTCTCAACGTGGCATAAAAGTACACTCGGGATAGACGTGGACGTATCAATTCAAACTAAGCAAGGATCTGCAGATGGGGTTTTTTTAGATGTTGGGGAAGGCCTTAATGACATTTTTTGTTATCCAGGAATGGGTGAGATTTGCAGCTGCAGGTGTAAAACATAACCAGGACTGAAGCTCAATCGCAGTTGACCGTCAAATGTAATATTCTCAATCTTTAAGAAGGGATTTTGATAGCAATATGCTGAACTTGTGTTCATGATGATTCTATATAGCAGTGTGAGTTTGTTGCTTCTGTATAATTGTGTATAATAACTATGACCTGATTTTCGACAGTCTGTATAATAGAAAAATCCTGTACATTTGATCAGATGCAATTCAGCACTTTAGATATGTTTTTGTTTCAAAAAGTATCATACTGTTTTTGTGGAAGAGGAAGGTTTTGAGCCTTGCAAGGCCAACCTGTGAACATATATCATGCGTTGCTGCTTTTTGCTCAATAAATATATTCAGATTTCATATTTGCTTTGTGTATTTCTATGAACTTTAGTATACTATTCAAGACTTTCTTTATCACCATTTTTCTTAATGCATAAAAAGACAAATTACGTTCCTCGAGCAGTACATAAGGGAAACAGAAAAAACAAACAGGAATTTTATTTGAATGCTAGCTGACCGACTCGCCTATTGTTGAACCACTCCTGTGGCAATACTGTAAGCAAGGGAGCTAACTACAGCTAGCTATATTGTTGTATTCCCTATATCTCAGATCCAAGACAGCCCCGCGAGCATCTGCATCCAATTTTATATCTGCTCCACTCTTTTAAAAAATTGACTTTTCCGCCTCTCTTATCACTAAAAGCCTACTTGTTTGAGGATTATGATATTGAACTTGTTTTGCAATCAACTCTATGGACCACAGGTACCTGCCATGCCCACAAAACTAACAATTAAAATGCTACCTTAGCCTGGTTATTGAATACAGACAACATGTAGGTTTATAGGTTTGCTATTGCTGTTAGCGCCCTTATATCTCCGCCCTTTAAACCTCTGGGTGAGTGATGTGGGACGCCATGTTCTGTTTTGTAATCTCTCAGATTTTTTTTTCTATCTCCCTATGGCTTCCTTTTCATTAGGATTTACTGAAAAGCGGCTTATCTCTGGCCTCGAAGGGCTGTTTGTTTCTCTATTTATGGGCTCAAAGGTTTTTTTCCCACTGCTTTTATGACCACTTATGACTGTTGCTAATCGATGTCATATTTTCAGAACAAACAGGAAAGAGTTGCGATTGAAGAGATTATTAAACACTGCATTTTAACATAGTGCTTAATGTGACAACAAGGTAGTGTTACTAATGCAATGAATAATGTGGAAAAAGGACACTGCATATTGCACCACAGATATAAAAGAAAATACTTTCAACCAAGTTGTGTTGATCACTTCATCACAAGTTGTAAATATTGTATGGATTTAAATGTCTCTTTCTTAGAGTTTTCATCTCTGGTATAGTTATTTTTCAAGTATGTTAGCTATGCTAGCAGCAGGCTGTGCTAATGGTAATGTGCTTCAGTCAGTAACTTTACCAAAAATAACTTTCCTTTCAGCGATCAGTTGTGTTTAGTACTTATAACAATGTTAGAAAGAAAAACAAGATGGTAAAAGATGGCAAATATAATAGCATTAACACTTTACGCATTCATTAACATTGTAAGCATTCTGACATTAGCATTTAGCTTCACCTGACAGGCATGGCTGTACACTAAAAGTCTTGTTTAAACCTACAAACTGGATATTGTTTTTATTTTAAAACCATCATTGTCTGTCACACAACCTAAAATGACCATTTGTTCTTCTTTCCCCGTGTGACCAGGAAACACATGGAGGGAACCATCTCCAAATCATGTTGCAAAACGTTTCCAAAAAGGAAATCACCAGAGGAAGTAAAACACAACTCTTTGGCATCGACACACAAGTTTGTGTCTGTAATGTCATGACAAAAATATGAGTCAAGAACGACAATGTTGAGTTGAGTATTTTGACTTTACTATTTAGGACATCCTACACGGCATTCTTCTGTCTTGCTAGTAGCCTAATGGATAAAAGTAGCCGAGCAAACACATTTAATAAAAATGGTCTGGATCCAGTATATAAAAAATAGCCTTTGAAAAACTTTGTCTGCCTTAATTCTATCTGGAAATGTGTTGAATGGTTTTGACAGTGTCACTAGTTTCTAATGTAATTCAGCTTAAATAAAGAATTCACAGTCACGACAACTTCAGCTGTTTTAGGTTTTCTTTTAAAGTTGCCTCCAATAAATGTTTGTGGCGGTAAAACTATCCCACTGTACTGCAACATGAGTCAAAACCTGCTCAGTATTTTCTACAATATTGTACCCTTTTTGAAGTCACTCGGTCAGTTCAGTCCCCTCTTTTTGTTAATGAAAGCCTGAGAATGTTGTTTCAACACCCCACATGGTTTTCATGGGCACATTGTTTGCTGAGCCGCTGCATGAGAGGAGCAGGGACAGTGAGCTGCGGATTTCCTGTCTGTGTTTTGTCTGGGAATGTTTGTAAGAATACCAGCGGCTGTGGGAGACAGAGCTGGGAATAGATGGTGGTTTGGAAATTATAGACTCTAAGTTGCAAACATTTTAATTCTGAATAGGCTTATCCTTGTTGGTCTCTGAGAGCTTTTTCTGTCCAGAATAGATTAAGATCTTGTTCTGAAATGGTCTCCACAGACATAATAGTCACATGAAAAGTGTTTTAAAAGATTTTCAGTCATAAATATCCACGCCTTGGTCTTTTTGAGTGCTTTAAGTATTCACATTTAATGTGTTTAAATGAAAAACAATGCATGTGGGAGTTTTTTGTTAGTCTACAATACCTAAAAGTAATCTCTGTCCAGGTTTTCTCCCTTTTATTTCCTTTAACCTCTGCAGTATTAAGACACTTTTTGCCTAATTATCCACAGTGCAGTACTCTGAAATGTAGCTGTGTTTGAAGATGTCTACCCAAATGTTTGCCACTCTGAACAAAGGAGTGCCTTGTTGGAAATAGATTACCTTTAAGTGACTGTACATGTTATCGTCACCCTTATTACTACAAGAATATACCTACCGGCTATGTGGCCTACTTTGCAGCAGTAAACAGATATTATATATACGTTGTAACTTGGCAGAGTACTCATAACATTTGACTTCGAATTACTTAGTATTTCATATAAAAAATGTTGCTTATCTAAGAAAAATAAGTAAAATAGACTTAACCAGTTCATGTCCCTTAGGGCAAAACAAGAACTTACTTAAATATCTTTAATCTTGCAAACTTTGAAGTAACACCTTGCACTAGCTTCTGTAAGTTGTCTTTTCAATCACTGATTCTTATCATGATACTTAAGAGTTATATATTTGTGTTGCATGGGATACCTATCGAAAGATGTCAAAAACATTCAAAAAAGTGTCTGTTTCAAAGCTTCATGATGAGCTGCTCGGTGCAGCAACAGTGTTCCACATTTAGCCATGCAGTTGCCACATGGCCGCAATTATGGTGTTATTGTCTTGCTCAATGGCAGAGGGACAGCATCAATATATATATATATGTATATAAGATAAACATATATATATATATAGTATCTAAGCTTTGTGTTACTTTATGCAATCTTTGATACAATATGTTTGGCGCTCAAGACTCCATGCAGTTTTTCCACTGAGTCACACATTGCTGGGCTTGTTAATGCTGAGTCAGAAAAAGACAGATTTAGGCCCTGCATTGCATGCCCTTCTCCTGGTAATGTATATGTCAGCATGTTGGCCTGTTGCATCTTTACAGGCTTTTATATATACTGTATGTGCAGTGCCGCCCCCCCCCTACAGGCAGATCACGCAGACTGCGTGGGGCCTCACCTCGCGGAGGGGGCCTCATTTTGCGGAGGGTGCCTCATCTTGCGGAGGGTGCTTCATTTTGCGGAGGGAGCCTCATCTGAAGCGCAAATGCGGCGCACCTACAGTGTAAGCTGCGAGGCTCCACTTGCGCCCCCCCCCGACACAGAGAGCCTCATCATATAACTTTCCGTGGGGCCACTAAATCTATCTTCAACCCTTCCACATTTATTTTTCTGGCACTGCAGTATCTATAACACACCTGACACCCAGTGAAGTTCCACTTACACCAGTAGCTGTTGGAGAACTTCACACCTATGATTGCTATTGAGAGAAAGCAGGGTTGAATGATAGCTTTGACTTTCTAATCCAGTCATCTCATTCTTGTCCTCCTGAATCCATTCACTTAATACTCCTCTGGCAGAAGAACCTTGACTTTTTCAATGATCAGGTCACCGCAGTTTAATTTTGGAGGGAACTTTAGAAGACAGGTGTGAGTTGACATGAGGACTGTTGGGTGTTGTTGACAAGTTGACACGGACGCATAGAACAGGCAGATTACATTTAACAGGTTTATTGCAGGAGTTACAGAATCAGGAGATACCAAGGCTAGTGAATGCTTGGAGAAAGGCAGGAAGGAAAGTGGGGAATGGAGAGTTGCGGGTTTCCAGAGGAAGCAGAGTTTGCAAGCAGGCAGGCAAGCACATATGATCCGACATACACATGGTACCACAAATATTAGACAAGGTGCACAAGTAGAATCCGCTAGTAGAAACCTGAGCGTAACATCCACTGAGGCCAAAGCTATTATCTGACGAAGAGTAAAGCCGGGGTCGATCTGCTGTTGGTTAATGAGCTGATTGCAGCCATGAGGTGAGGGGGGGATGATTAGCTGGTGGAAAACAGGTGTGTGTTGGTAGGTTGGGTGCAGGTTAACGAGACTCACACATGTACACAGTGAGATAAACAGGCACTCACACTAGTGATGGTGGCATTAAGCTTTATGAATCTTTCCAACCAATTGGCTTGCAAAAGGGTTCTTTTCTCAAGGCTTCATTTGCACACAAAAGTGGTCAAAGAGTGTAAAACAAGGAAGATATGACCCCTCAACAATGTGATACAAGATATATACGGGACCCCTGATGAGTAAAGGCGTTGAGGTTATCTGTAAACAATATACATGAAATCCTTTTTCCATGTAATCCTCCTCTTAAGTCTTGAAGACTTAAAGGTGGGGTAGGTCATTTTGGAGAAACCAGCTTGAGTGCGCTAGAATTTGAAAATACACAGCCGGAAGAAATCCGCTACTTCCTTATAGAGCCCCTCCTCCAACACACACGAACGCGCACATGACCAATGAGGGCGCGAGATAAGTTTGTGCACAGATGGAAGGCTGACAGGCAGGTAGGCCATCCAGTTACTTTAGCCGGGCCGGCTAAAATGATTTGTCGTGCTTTTTACAGTACTACGGCTTCCACAGAGGACATTTTTTAATGTATTTTTTGTCAAAGCACTTAAGATATTTATTGCTATCGGGATGTTAAGAGCATTCCATGGAATATAACAAAAAGTGTATCTCGAGCCGGTTTCTCAAACTTACCTACCCCACCTTTAATGATACAAGAGGAGTGGGGGAATA